TTACATTGTGTCATAGGTCAAATTTATTTGTTCAGTGTATGTTCAATGGTGTTAATATATCCTTTGATTGAGTTAAGCTATTTCAATTGATATTTTATAGTGTGTCTTTCTATGTTGTGATGTTACACTATTGTTTCAGAAAAAGGGTGAAGGTTTGGTACCATTAAAACTTTAAACCCGCTGCATTTGTTTGCACCTGTCCTAAGTCAGGAATCTGATGTTCAGTAATTGTCGTTTGTTGATGTGGTTCATAAGTGTTTCTCGTTTCTCGTTTTTTATATAGATTAGGCCGTTGGTTTTCCCGTTTGAATGGTTTTACACTAGTAATTTTTTGGGGCCCTTTATAGCTTACTTTTCGGTGTGAGCCAAGGCTCCGTGTTGAAGACCGTACTGTGACCTATAATGGTTTACTTTTATAAATTTTGACTTGGATGGAGAGTTGTCTCATTGGCACCCATACCACATCTTCTTATATCTATACAAAGTAAGAGAACAGAAACGAAAAATTCAGCATTTTTCCTTTAGTAAAGGGGCATAACTCTTAAACTATAAAATTGATGCCTTCAAAATTCAAACTTGACCTGTGTTTTGTGATAATAAACATTGTGTAAAAGTTTCATAACATTTGGTTGAGGCAAATTAAAGTTAGAGAACATAAACCAATTTTAGGACGCACAGACGGACGGACGTACGTATAGACGGACAAGGGTACAACTTAATGCCCCGGCCCTCCGCTACAGCGGGGGCATAAAAATCAGAGATGTTTCTGTCATTTTGTTCAATGCATTAAACCTATCTGTTCCACATTATCTAACAGATCCACAGCTTACAAGTAAAGAAATGTCTTTTCTTCATCCCTTCACAAGATACACAAAATACAAGTTTAATATCTAATGTTTAAAATTGGAATAGACTGAAGAGGGCGGCGTTTTGCATATGCGCCGAGTTTTTCTTTTATTTTTGTGTGAATAAAGACCATTGCTTTCTTTTACAAAACAATAGTAATTTTGTCCTTTAAAGGATTATCAAGTCGGCCTCAACAAGTTTCTTATGAGAATTATAAAGTCTTATATTTGATTTTTTATTTTTCCAAAGGTTTACAATATTTGCATACACTTTTTTAAAGTTTAAAATTTTTATCTAAACCTCACAGCATTTCTTTTTAAGACATGTTAGATATTTGGAATTTTCATCATTTTATTTAATGAGTTAAGATTTTTTATCTTTAAAGTTATCTAAAAAGAAGTATTTCAAATAATTTCCGTTAAAATACATTTACAGGGGAGGTAATCTCGATTCAAATTTTGTTTCCACGTTAAATCGATTTAAATTTCCAGTTGCATTTCATTTACGTATATATACACGGATAAAAAAGGTTATAATTTGATAGCCCTCTTGATAGGGTCTACATTTCTTTTAATTTTGTTAACTGTAGAGTTTGATGGTTGTTCGTTGACAACACTGACAATGTCGGTGACACTTTAAAAATGTTGCAAATTGAATCCAAATTCACACGTTCCTTCTCTTTCCCCGACTTCAAAAATAACATAGAACAAAACTTGAGCTTTTTTACTTCCAGGCATTGAACTTGTAACTCAATCAAGAAACACCTTAGTTAGAATAAGATACTCGTGCAGATTCGGTTATGCAAGTTCGTTCCGGTCCTTTGTTTACATATTATTGACTTATCGTAAAACTAAGGAATTTTCAGTGTAGAATTATTGAATTTTTAACATGAATATATTGAAAACAGTAAATTATTTCCTTACAACAAACAACACATTGAAATATCTTCGTGGTACTCGCGTCCGCTCATATTTAAAAAGTGCTCAAACAGATAAAAAAACTCCTGATTTAAAAAAAAAAATCAGTTTTTCAAGAGAAAGAGAGGGATATTGAATAATTTTCACACACTGAAAAAGAAAAGTTACGTTGATTTTTTGTAAGATGAAACACTATACTTTTTAGAAATAATCATGTTTCTTGGATTCTATTCATTCTAATTTCAACGAAAATAGGGGCAAGTTGCAATAGCTTATCGTATCTTAACCTGGAATATACACGATAACACTATATCCATCATCTGATTGGATGTTTCAAACTGAATTTCAGATTTCAAAGAAAGATAAGTCTTAAACCACATGTCTGTCAATATTGAACTGAGGACACTCTTGTAGCTCTCGTAGAGCTACTCATTATTGTATTTTAAAATTTGGCTCTATATCTTACGGTTTTCAAGATATAAGCAAAAATTGCTAACATCAACAAATTTGGGTTTGAAAAGAGAAATAACTCTTGGAAATTCTAACAGTTTTGACTGTGAAGACTTTATTGTAGCCCTAGGTAAATGATCAATAATGCTAATTTGGCTCTAGGTCTCATATTTTTTGCTTAATTGATTTATGACAATTAGCTTTAGGAGCCTTTAAAAAGGGGGGCTCGTGCCTCTCTTTTGCTGAAAACAAATAGTTGAAATGGTAGGAAATAACTGAACCATAACAGCTTCCCCTCAGTGATGTTAGAAATCGGAAAAGTATTTGGAAGTCCATGTAATTTACCTCAATTTAGGATAGACTCTCGAATTTTGAGGAGTCAAATATATATATATATATATATATATATATATATAACTCGTCTAAACATCAGCCAAACATTGTTAGATTTGAATCCGACGCGTTAGACCACTCGACCACCTTGGCTTCACATTCAGTTGAGACAAACTTAAGTAAGAGAACGGAAACAAAAAATTCAGAATTTTTTCCATTTGTAAAAAGCGAATAACCCTAGATCGGATAAAAGACACCACAAAAATTCATGCTTGATCTGTGTTTTGTGGTAATCAGCATTGTGTATAAGTTTCGTAACATTTGGTTGAAACAAACTAAAGTAAGAGAACAGAAACGAAAAATTCAGCATTTTTCCTTTAGTAAAGGGGCATAACTCTTGAACTGTGAAATTGATGCCACCAAAATTCAAACTTGACCTGTGTTTTGTGATAATAAGCATTGTGTAAAAGTTTCATAACATTTGGTTGAGGCAAACTAAAGTTAGAGAACATAAACCAATTTTAGGACGCACAGACGGACGGACGTACGTATAGACGGACAAGGGTACAACTTAATGCCCCCTCCGCTACAGCGGGGGCATAAAAATCAGAGATGTTTCTGTCATTTTCTTCAATGCATTAAACTTATCTATTCAACATTATCTAACAGATCCACAGTTTACAAGTAAAGAAATGTCTTTTCTTCATCCCTTCACAAGATACACAAAATACAAGTTTAATATCTAATGTTTAAAATTGGAATAGACTGAAGAGGGCGGCGTTTTGCATATGCGCCGAGTTTTTCTTTTATTTTTGTGTGAATAAAGACCATTGCTTTCTTTTACAAAACAATAGTAATTTTGTCCTTCAAAGGATTATCAAGTCGACCTCAACAGGTTACTTATGAGAATTATAAAGTCTTATATTTGATTTTTTATTTTTCCAAAGGTTTACAATATTTGCATACACTTTTTTAAAGTTTAAAATTTTTATCTAAACCTCACAGCATTTCTTTTTAAGACATGTTAGATATTTGGAATTTTCATCATTTTATTTAATGAGTTAAGATTTTTTATCTTTAAAGTTATCTAAAAAGAAGTATTTCAAATAATTTCCGTTAAAATACATTTACAGGGGAGGTAATCTCGATTCAAATTTTGTTTCCACGTTAAATCGATTTAAATTTCCAGTTGCATTTCATTTACGTATATATACACGGATAAAAAAGGTTATAATTTGATAGCCCTCTTGATAGGGTCTACATTTCTTTTAATTTTGTTAACTGTAGAGTTTGATGGTTGTTCGTTGACAACACTGACAATGTCGGTGACACTTTAAAAATGTTGCAAATTGAATCCAAATTCACACGTTCCTTCTCTTTCCCCGACTTCAAAAATAACATAGAACAAAACTTGAGCTTTTTTACTTCCAGGCATTGAACTTGTAACTCAATCAAGAAACACCTTAGTTAGAATAAGATACTCGTGCAGATTCGGTTATGCAAGTTCGTTCCGGTCCTTTGTTTACATATTATTGACTTATCGTAAAACTAAGGAATTTTCAGTGTAGAATTATTGAATTTTTAACATGAATATATTGAAAACAGTAAATTATTTCCTTACAACAAACAACACATTGAAATATCTTCGTGGTACTCGCGTCCGCTCATATTTAAAAAGTGCTCAAACAGATAAAAAAACTCCTGATTTAAAAAAAAAAATCAGTTTTTCAGGAGAAAGAGAGGGATATTGAATAATTTTCACACACTGAAAAAGAAAAGTTACGTTGATTTTTTGTAAGATGAAACACTATACTTTTTAGAAATAATCATGTTTCTTGGATTCTATTCATTCTAATTTCAACGAAAATAGGGGCAAGTTGCAATAGCTTATCGTATCTTAACCTGGAATATACACGATAACACTATATCCATCATCTGATTGGATGTTTCAAACTGAATTTCAGATTTCAAAGAAAGATAAGTCTTAAACCACATGTCTGTCAATATTGAACTGAGGACACTCTTGTAGCTCTCGTAGAGCTACTCATTATTGTATTTTAAAATTTGGCTCTATATCTTACGGTTTTCAAGATATATGCAAAAATTGCGAACATCAACAAATTTGGGTTTGAAAAGAGAGATAACTCTTGGAAATTCTAACAGTTTTGACTGTGAAGACTTTATTGTAGCCCTAGGTAAATGATCAATAATGCTAATTTGGCTCTAGGTCTCATATTTTTCGCTTAATTGATTTATGACAATTAGCTTTAGGAGCCTTTAAAAAGGGGGCTCGTGCCTCTCTTTTGCTGAAAAAAAATAGTTGAAATAGTAGGAAATAACTGAACCATAACAGCTTCCCCCTTTTTTGTCAGTCAATGACCACCCCTTTTATTTAGGAAGTAATGTGTTATTGTTCGGCCACTGTTTTTTTCATATTGACAATATAATACTTACGATTTCAAATCTTGAATATTTTCCAGTAAAGATTGGACCAACTGCAAAAGTTCATAACAACTTGGGATTCTCGTGGCAACCCTCAAAACATTTCTTGCAACGCCTTCGAGTCGAACTGACACACCATCGACATATTCTGGGTTTCTAACATCAGTGTTCAGTAAACGGATTGAATCCTGCACAATTCCATTACACGTAGTCAAAAAATGAATATAAGAATTATGGTCTGTGCGACGTCCTCTGTTAGCCATTGTTAGTAAGCATAAAAAAGGACCGCATGCGATAACTGTCCAGCCAAGTAGTTAAGAAAGAGTGATTTTCATTGGAGAACACAACTAAGCTTAATTCATTTAAGCATAAGCTAAACTCATTTTAGCATAAGCTGAATTCATTTTAGCATAAGCTAAAACCATTTTAGCATAAGCTAAAATCATTTTAGCATAAGCTAAAATCATTTTAGCATAAGCTAAAATCATTTTAGCATAAGCTAAAATCATTTTAGCATAAGCTAAATTCATTTTAGCATAAGCTAAATTCATTGATCGTATATGCGAAGTTTAATATTTATGACCTTGATTCCGCGCCAACATTTCTGTATAAGCTGAACATTATTGCATATGCTAAATTGATTTTAGCTTATGCTAAAATGAATTCAGCTTATGCTAAAATGAATTTAGCTTATGCTAAAATTAATTTAGCTTATGCTAAAATCATTTCAGCATAAGCTTAAATGGATTTAGCATATGCTAAAAGCGATAATTATGACCCTAATTCCGCGCCATAATTATATTACTGGCACAAAATGAAAATAACACTTTATAAATTTGGTGTTTGTCGAAGGCGTTTTTCTGGATTCACCTTTATAGGGAACGGTCCAACCCAAACATTTGAAAGCAAAAGCTATATAAATACTTGAATAAATGAGGAGCTTATGACTAAGAAAGAATCTAAAACAAATAGACAAATCCACCCAAGGTCAACTTTGGCTGAGAGAGTTTGACTTAGTTTATATCAATTTTCAGGAATCGAGTGGTTGAATAAAATACAATACACCTCTTAATCTTTCTGTACAGAATAAAAGAACTGATTTCTCATTTTAGTCACGTGTACAAATGGCCGTAAGTTAGTCGATATTCTTATTTGACGTGACGCTTTTGCTTTGTAAATAACAGCGTGATTAATTTCTCGATATTTCTATATTTAGCACAGACTCACATATGTACATACTTGTTTACCTTCCACGTAAATCTACATCTATTGTAACTAATGTGCAAAAACTTTGTCGATTTCGCCGTGTTAAAATTGAAATAGAAAAAAAATATATAGAAGTGTTCTTCCTATTCTAATGCATACAGAAAAGAATTAGTGCATTATAGGTTGGAAAAATAGGGAAAAAATAAATAAAATCCCCGAAATTCCTTAAATGGTCTTGGCGCATTATCGTTATGTCTAAGCATGACGTCATATGAATGAAAATTCTCAAGCTGAATGTTATTCTGTTACTTATACGCTCCAAATTTGTAGAATATCTTATTAAAATGGAGTTTTGAAATAGGTGTTCTTTCATTGTGTATTCTATTTCATTTTTCGCACATTTATGGATTTTACAAAGTCATCATGGCTGCTCACTCCTTAGTTACGTCGTGTCAACAGTTGATTTGACAGTAAATAGAAGCCAACGAAAGAAATTTTTTTTCTATAGGTTACTATATAACGCTTCTATTACATCGACCTTGAAATAAAGGATACAACAGATACAGTAAAGTGTGCCTCCTTTATCTTGACTTACATCTATAAATTGACAATTAGTGTCTATACTTACATGAGCAACACGGCGGGCGCCACATGTTGAGCAGGATCTACTTAACCTTCCGGAGCACCCCCGGTTGTTTTCGTATGGTTCGTGTTGCTCGGTTTTTTGCTTTCAATATTGTGTTTTGTGTACTGCTGTTTGTCTTTTCGTCGTTTTTCGTGTTTTGCCTTGGCATTGTCAGTTTGTTTACGAGGTTGATCCCTTTGATATCTTTCGCCTTTCTCTTATTTAAGAAATAATTCATGCAAGCCATAGATTAATTTGAAATGTTTAACTTGATCTTACAGGGGTTACAATAGAACAGCCACAAACACAGCACATTTATCTTCGCTTCAGCTTTTTACATTAGAATCCAAAAAATTCTTGCAATCCCTAAATTTGTTATCATTTTCACATGGCCTGTGCCATTATATATGTTAATTTTGTCCCTCACTCACGCTCGGCATAAAATTCAAATATAACGGCCCAAGCCTTGTGAAATTTCCAACATGGCTTGCATATTTTTATTTATTAATTAATCCAAAATCCTTATTAATAAATGCTTGATTTGCATTGATGAAAAGTTTATTAACCAAACACAATAATAATAACAGTAATGATTATATCTATAATGAAAAAAATAAATAAAAGAGTGGAGATTATTATTCTTGATGGCTGATGCATGTGGTGTGAAGTATGCTTCTTTATTTTTTTCATCGCATTAAATCCCTTATTATTTGTTAAGTGATATATATATATATATATTCCTGTTTTTCAAGTTTTATATGTTCACTTGGAATCTTTGGCGTCACTACAAACACGTACATATCGAACTAACTGAGAATGTACATTCCATAAAAAGGAGCTAACAAAACATCAAAATAAAATTAAAAACCAAATTTGGGTAACTTTGAGAGACATTTCAACTCACCATCTGCAAATATTGATGAGAGTATCTACCAAGCGGCATTTGTTTGTGATTCATAACGTATATCAATATGGGCATCTTCTTGGTCTTGGAAAATTTCATGTATAAAACGAAATGACCTGAAGTAAAATCTAACCAGATGTTTTTCCTTTGTATGACATGTGTACGGCGAGTTTTACAAAGTTGTGTGTGGTCATTCCCCTTTGGTTTTTTTTATGAGTATATTACAATAACCTATGTCATCCCTCTTTGTAAACTTTGATGAACACATTTATATATTAATGTTAGACACAATTATCCTAAGTCACCCTTTTAATCTAGATGAGTACATGATAAAATCATCCTAAACATGGTAAACGAAGGGAATGTTATTATATTCTTCATCAATATATATAAATGGATGGATGGCCTAAGGTCATCGTGTTTAATGTAATTTTATCATATGTTACTGAGGAGAAATGGCAAGTTTACAATTTGAGAGTTGAAATCATCCCGTTTGTCATAGTCTTAGGTTTCAATCTGAAAGCGAACTTAAGGAACTATGCAAGACGTTTCTTTTTTCTTTTTGGTTTTGAAAAGGTTCAGTCAAGATTTTGTTTTATATTACTAGTTAACAAAACAAGTCGGCAATTCGGGTGTACAATTAGTACAAATTAGAATACCTACTGACAATTTCTTTGAAATAAATGCAACAATAATTAATGATTGTACAATTTTAAAGAAATTGTGTCAAGGCTTATACTATCACATCACAATTCAAAAATATTTATTCATTAAATAATTGTATTCATGTCATTTTATTTAAAAATTGTATAACATGCTGTTTTTTAAATTTTAAATTACCTATGCCTTTTTTGCGTTTCACTTTCACTTTCATTACCTAAAATCCTGTTTATTCAGATTTTTAATGTGAATGTAAATATTGCAATGTTTGTTAATATGAGTAACAAAGAAAACAATATATATATAGAGGAACAATCAGCGCTGAATAAATACCATATATCAAGCACTAAATTGTATTGAGAGGAGACACTTGGTAAAGAAATAACAGAGACACTCAACGATCTGTCATCGATACCAAATATTTCGAAAGGCAAAATCACTAAATGCAACCATTAACGATGTTCCCGACTTCTGACAATCACATTAACATTAACAGGGATTGAACTTGTTTTTTGTAGTACTCATCACCTTTTCATACTGATCAGTGGAGTAACAAAAGGTACACAGAAAACCAAAGATGATAAAATCGGCTAAAATAGCATTTAACTCTTTAACATAGGTATTAAGACGACTAACACATAGATATCCGCAAAACAGTACTAAACAATACCGCGTTTAAGTTGTTCGTAGTTATTAAAAGCAAGCTTAAATATCAAATCTATATAGTTATTGAAAGTAAGGTAAAATCAAAACATCGACTTATATATGCACAATGAGTTCGTATATTGTATTATCGGCAGCTGTATTTCTAAGAAATCTAGTTCTATGTTGTTTTAGGGTTTATTGATATTCGGCTTTTAATACTTATTTTCCATTATTTGGTTTCGAGCACTACTGATTATACTTGCGTAACATCAAATAAACTTTTTTTTTACGTAATTTCTTCTTTTTTGGCAGGAAATGTTCAAATTTCAATCTAAAGCAGATACTATACTAGTAGATAGATTTATTCTCTGATATCAACAGTTTAACAATGTTTTGTTTTTAATTGTGTTTTAATATTCATTTTATTGATTTTAGTTATTTACTTACCACACGATTGTGAGGAATGAAAATAAATACATATTACAAGCGCAATGTGTAATCCAGCTGTATTTATATTTGGTCTCATGGCTTTTCTTAGTTATAGTATATCATCGACAATATTCCTTCAGACACAAAATCTGATCTGTTTTAACAATTGATCAACACTGCTCTTATAATTATTTGTTTTACCTGGTATTTTGATAAGTTAAATACAAGATTGCAAAATTTGTATTTTAAATTCATAAAATATCTTCTCAAATTACGCCAAAAAATGAATATATACAATGTATCTATTGTTCTGTAAAGTCTAAGCATATCATATAAAAAGGATGTAAAATGTGTACTAGACCAAGAATAGTCATCTGCACGTTTATAAACAAAATCTTCCTTTACAATGAATAAGTAAATCCAAATGTTTGTTATATAGGGGATCGACATATCATCATCATGAATGGTGTTTGATTATTGATCAGTGTCAGTTTACACGTTATGTTTTGAGAGAGTTTTTGAAGCTATGAAACACACACTAGTGTATTAATAGTCTCATGTAATATCAACCCGGTTGAAGTCAGCTCTTTTGCAATGACATTATTTATATCCAGTTTGTAAAGAGTTCGGAAAAAGTAGGCCTTTTCATATTTTCAATTTAGTTATGTCTAAAGGATAATGTCATCATTAGATACATAAATATGTAAACAAGTTTCAACGATATAAAAAGAACAGAAGCTTTAATTCGTCTAGCTTCAAGAATTGATTCAAAAATGCTAATCTGCCTTTGTGTTTTCTTTTTGGTTTAAAACATCTTCGATATTTTTGAAAAGAAATTAATTTTAATCAATTCAATATGGCTTTAAAATTATTTTCAAAAATTTCCAAAAAAAACTCAACATTTTTAGAAAGAAGTCAATGACACATAGAGTAACTCTAGAACTTTCATATTATTTGAAAAAGGAAGTACATCTTGGCAATTTTGACGTTGTCATATCGTTTAAAACTTACTTGTGTTCCAGTTAACAAACAAAATCAAACTGGCGAAATAAAATAAATCTGGAATGGTATCCGTAAAGAATAAAAAAAAATCGACCTATAAATACTGTAACGATAATCTCCGAAATTAATAATTCAGTATGAATCCAATCATCGAATTTCAGCTACGACCATCATATCATACTAGTATTCACAAATTGAGTTTTTTTTATGAAATTATTAAAAAAAAATTAATAACCAAAACACCGAACTCTAAAGTTCTTACTACCATTCTTTATACATTGAAATGTGGCCTTCAGAAGTATTATGATGAGGTATATTCAACCAGCGTCAATGAAATTTGGATTCTTAAATATTCCAAATATATTCTTAAAATCTTCAATCACTATCTTTACAATTTTGCAGTAATATCAAAACCTTAATTTTTCTACTCTTTACACTACTATTTCCACGCTTAATTGACAGTAAATAGAAGCCAACGAAAGAATTTTTTTTCTATAGGTTACTATATAACGCTTCTATCCCATCGACCTTGAAATAAAGTGATTTGCCTTGGCATTGTCAGTTTGTTTATGACTTACGAGGTTGATCCATGTCGTATCTTTCGCCTTTCTTTTATTTAAAAATAATGCATGCAAGCCATAGATTTATTTGAAATGTTTAACTTTATCTTACAGGGATTACAATAGAACAGCCACAAACACAGCACATTTATCTTCGCTTCAGCTTTTAACATTAGAATCCAAAAAATTCTTGCAATCCATAAATTTGTTATCATTTTCACATGGCCTGTGCCATTATATTTGTTAATTTTGTCCCGCGCTCATGCTCGGCATAAAATTCAATTATAACGGCCCAAGCCTTGTGAAATTTCCAACATGGCTTGCATATTTTTATTTATTAATTAATCCAAAATCCTTATTAATAAATGCTTGATTTGCATTGATGAAAAGTTTATTAACCAAACACAATAATAATAACAGTAATGATTATATCTATAATGAAAAAAATAAATAAAAGAGTGGAGATTATTATTCTTGATGGCTGATGCATGTGGTGTGAAGTATGCTTCTTTATTTTTTTCATCGCATTAAATCCCTTATTATTTGTTAAGTGATATATATATATATATATTCCTGTTTTTCAAGTTTTATATGTTCACTTGAAATCTTTGGCGTCACTACAAACACGTACATATCGAACTAACTGAGAATGTACATTCCATAAAAAGGAGCTAACAAAACATCAAAATAAAATTAAAAACCAAATTTGGGTAACTTTGAGAGACATTTCAACTCACCATCTGCAAATATTGATGAAAGTATCTACCAAGCGGCATTTGTTTGTGATTCATAACGTATATCAATATGGGCATCTTCTTGGTCTTGGAAAATTTCATGTATAAAACGAAATGACCTGAAGTAAAATCTAACCAGATGTTTTTCCTTTGTATGACATGTGTACGGCGAGTTTTACAAAGTTGTGTGTGGTCATTCCCCTTTGGTTTTTTTTTTATGAGTATATTACAATAACCTATGTCATCCCTCTTTGTAAACTTTGATGAACACATTTATATATTAATGTTAGACACAATTATCCTAAGTCACCCTTTTTGTCTAGATGAGTACATGATAAAATTACCTAAACATGGTATACGAAGGGAATGTTATTATATTCTTCATCAATATATATAAATGGATGGATGGCCTAAGGTCATCGTGTTTTATGTAATTTTATCATATATTACTGAGGAGAAATGGCAAGTTTACAATTTGAGAGTTGAAATCATCCCGTTTGTAATAGTCTTAAGTTTCAATATCTGAAAGCGAACTTAAGGAACTATGCAAGACGTTTCTTTTTTCTTTTTGGTTTGGAAAAGGTTCAGTCAATATTTTGTTTTATATTACTAGTTAACAAAACAAGTCGGCAATTCGGGTGTACAATTAGTACAAATTAGAATACCTACTCACAATTTCTTTGAAATAAATGCAACAATAGTTAATGATTGTTCAATTTTAAAGAAATTGTGTCAAGGCTTATACTATCACATCACAATTCAAAAATATTTATTCATTAAATAATTGTATTCATGTCATTTTATTTAAAAATTGTATAACATGCTGTTTTTTAAATTTTAAATTACCGATGCCTTTTTTGCGTTTCCCTTTTACTTTCATTACCTAAAATCCTTTTTATTCAGATTTTCAATGTGAATGTAAATATTGCAATGTTTGTTAATATGAGTAACAAGGAAAACAATATATATAAAGAGGAACAATCAGCGCTGAATAAATACCATATATCAAGCACTAAATTGTATTGAGAGGAAACACTTGGTAAAGAAATAACAGAGACACTCAACGATCTGTCATCAATACCAAATATTTCGAAAGGCAAAATCACTAAATGCAACCATTAACGATGTTCCCGACTTCTGACAATCACATTAACATTAACAGGGATTGAACTTGTTTTTTTAGTACTCATCACCTTTTCATACTGATCAATGGAGTAACAAAAGGTACAAAGAAAACCAAAGATGATAAAATCGGCTAAAATAGCATTTAACTCTTTAACATAGGTATTAAGACGACTTACACATAGATATCCGCAAAACAGTACTAAACAATACCGCGTTTAAGTTGTTCGTAGTTATTAAAAGCAAGCTTAAATATCAAATCTATATAGTTATTGAAAGTAAGGTAAAATTAAAACATCGACTTATATATGCACAATGAGTTCGTATATTGTATTATCGGCAGCTGTATTTCTAAGAAATCTAGTTCTATGTTGTTTTAGGGTTTATTGATATTCGGCTTTTAATACTTATTTTCCATTATTTGGTTTCGAGCACTACTTATTATACTTGCGTTACATCAAATAAACTTTTTTTTTAATTTTTTTTACGTAATTTCTTCTTTTTTGGCAGGAAATGTTCAAATTTCAATCTAAAGCAGATACTATACTAGTAGATAGATTTATTCTCTGATATCAACAGTTTAACAAGGGTTTTTTGTTTTTAATTGTGTTTTAATATTCATTTTATTGATTTTAGCTATTTACTTACCACACGATTGTGAGGAATGAAAATAAATACATATTACAAGCGCAATGTGTAATCCAGCTGTATTTGGTCTCATGGCTTTTCTTAGTTATAGTATATCATCGACAATATTCGTTCAGACACAAAATCTGATCTGTTTTAACAATTGATCAACACTGCTCTAATAATTATTTGTTTTACCTGGTATTTTGATAAGTTAAATACAAGATTGCAAAATTTGTATTTTAAATTCATAAAATATCTTCTCAAATTACGCCAAAAAATGAATATATACAATGTATCTATTGTTCTGTAAAGTCTAAGCATATCATATAAAAAGGATGTAAAATGTGTACTAGACCAAGAATAGTCATCTGCACGTTTATAAACAATATATTTCTTTACAATGAATAAGTAAATCCAAATGTTTGTTATATAGGGGATCGACATATCATCATCATGGATGGTATTTAATTATTGATCAGTGTCAGTTTACACGTTATGTTTTGAGAGAGTTCTTGAAGCTATGAAACACACACTAGTGTATTAATAGTCTCATGTAATATCAACCCGGTTGAAGTCAGCTCTTTTGCAATGACATTATTTATATCCAGTTTGTAAAGAGTTAGGAAAAAGAAGGCCTTTTCATATTTTCAATTTAGTTATGTCTAAAGGATAATGTCATCATTAGATACATAAATATGTAAACAAGTTTCAACGATTTAAAAAGAACAGAAGCTTTAATTCGTCTAGCTTCAAGAATTGATTCAAAAATGCTAATCTGCCTTTGTGTTTTCTTTTTGGTTTAAAACATCTTCGATATTTTTGAAAAGAAATTAATTCTAATCAATTCAATATGGCTTTAAAATTAATTTCAAAAATTTACGAAAAAAACATTTTTAGAAAGAAGTCAATGACACATAGAGTAACTCTAGAACTTTCATATTATTTGAAAAAGGAAGTACATCTTAACAATTTTGACGTTGTCATATCGTTTAAGGGAAAACGGTACTATTACATTTTCCTAGCATTAGGTTGGCCTTTTGTGTACCCAAGACAGGTGAAGGACAGGTCCTACTTAGGAGCGCTGTGATTGGATGTAAGGGTACAATATATTTTTGTATTTATCTATGAATAACTGCAGTGTGTATATTTACTAT